AACATTTCTGAACGATATAGATATTAACGGTGCCGAGCTGCCACTGTATCTGGCCGCTGAATATGGACGATCGCAATTGATAGATCTGTTACTCGAATTTGGTGCGAATGTCATTGCCGCCAACCGGCGTGGACACACTCCTTTACATCAGGCCGCAGATCAGGGGCATTTGGCAGCCGTGGGACTGCTTCTTGAACAGCAAAACATTGATTTGCAGGTACAAGATCCTTCAGGGTCTACTGCTCTTCATGTTGCTACTAAGCGAAATCACCTTTCTATCGTGAATTTGCTTTTAGCCAACCCGGGCATCGATATCAACTGCAAAGATATGGACGGAAACACACCCCTCTGGTGGTCTACTCGACTGGGGCATGATGACATCTCCTTCCGACTGCTAGCTGAGACTGGTGTGGATCTCAATGCTGTCGGTTGGAAGAGCGATATATCTACCACGCCTCTCTTTCATGCCGTGGCCAGACAGAGCTATTCGCTTGTGGAACGACTTGTCCAAAACCCCGAGTTAGACCCAAACATTCCCGGAGATTTCCGTTGGACACCCCTTGGCCACGCTGCACGCGACGGCAATGTTGCTATGGTGAAGCTGCTGCTTCGGAGAGACGATGTTCGATGTAATGCAGTGGGCCCGGACGAAGATTCCCCACTTTGGCTTGCTACGAAGTGTGGTAGAACTAGGGTGGTTGATCTCCTGCTGCAGCAGGGCAACCGAGTGGACATGAACTGTCGAAACAACAAAGATGGTGAAACTGCCCTGTCAGCGGCGGCTGGTTCCGGAGACCGAGATCTACACCTCGTGAAGCTCATCTTGGAGGATTCGCGAACGGATCCCAATGCTGTGGACAAGTCGGGAAAGACTGCGATATGGCACGCTGATTCAAAGGGGCATCTTCAAGTCGCAAACGAGCTCCTGAAGGATCCAAGGCTTCGCTGCGACCTGAAATCTATTGATTCGGTGGCAGGCAATCACTAGATGCTCTCAACTTGGTCGGACCTGGGGAAAGGAAATAGCGGGATCTGCTTTGACCAAAAAGTGCTGCATGTCTGTGGACGTGCGGGGCTCCAACTGTGGGATGAGTTATTATGTAGGCAGACCAATAGCCAAGCCTCTTATCGTACACGTAGCCCATACATTGGCTTTGTCTATCTCTCTGGAATCATTTGCTTTAGCTTCAACCTGGATCCTATTAACCAGTGTAACCAAAGCCGTAGTGTCAAGAAGTATACTTCGGGACGGCTAGTGGGAGGCCGGTTCTGGCTCCCTTTGGCGGCAGAGGTTTGCTGTTCCATATAGGTACATATGTACCGGATATCCTCTGGAAGTGGGTCCTGCTCAGGGCTGATCATGCTCTTGCTCACTGAGCATGATCACGGTTTCTCTTTTCCTGAATGCCCGGGCATCCTAGAGTATAGGATGTTGCACGTGACCTGATGACAGATAGATCGGTTGGCTCTCGGTGGCCCATCGGTAGTTGCGGTCCCCGCAACTGATTGGTGACTAGCATGTCCGTAACACATATTCAGTGGTGATGGCGCAAATCCAACCGACAGTGTAGTTTTTCCGGTTTGACATCACGAAGACACAGTTGGAACTAGTGAATCGCTAATGTATCAAAGGGATTGCTGGCGTTGCTATGCGGATAACTGGGTTTATGGCAGCGATGTCGTTTGAGGGGACCAAAGGGAGAGAGGGAAGGGGGGGAAAGTCGCTTTTAATCTAGAAATGGTGGATTCTAAAGAAATAATGGAGCATCCCTAAGGGCTCGCCGGGCCTTCTGAGGATGCTGGATTAAGAAAAATATTTTTATTGATTTTGAGGTATTCAATGGATGGTAGTCGCGCTGTGTTTTGTGTTTCTGAATGTTTAAAGACCAAACTTTCTACTTCAGAATAGAGGTAGGTCAAACGGGTTACACCAGCCAAGTTCTTTAAAAATTCGTGTCACGTTATGTAGACCCAGCCCCAGTATGATGCGGGGCTCTCGGATGTCATGTAGCCAATGAGAGCCGATACTTCTATTTAATAGGCGATTTGCCAACCAGATCGGCGTGTTCGCCGGAAGTGAGCATCATTTTAGAGCCAAGGGGGACTGCCGCGCATGGGAAAGGATACCTAGATACTCTTTCAACACTCTTACCCAAGTCTAGATATATAGGGGTTGGCACGAATAAGGATTTTCCATATTCGTATTCGTAACTAGTCGTGAGAGGTCATAAATCTTTTGGGTCTATCCTATTTTTTATGTTGTCAATCAATGGTGGAGATTGGTTGAACGTTAATCCCGCTGCAAGGCATATATTTTTGACGAAAACTAGCGGCTCAGGGCGTTCCCAACCGCGACCAAAGATCCACGAATATTAATAAGCAGTGAAGTTGTTGAGTATCACGGTGGCTGTGTTGGGTATCATGGTGGCTGAACCTTATGGCAGGGATTGGGAACAGATATATATGAGGCACCCCGCCCCTGTAAAATAGAATACAACAAGTCAATCAATTGCTTAAAGGATTGCTATTTACAGAAGAGGGGCAGTCCGTCTTTTATATATCCGTTCCTAATCCCTGCCATAAGCTTCGGCCACCGTGATATTCAACATGAAGCTTTGTTTATTCGTATTCGTGCCGACCCCTATAGATATATAAGGGGCGAGCCAACCAAGCCTCAACATCCATATTGCAGTTCACTCTACTTTCTGTTGTAATTCAGAGGTATAATCTTGATTATTCTTCCAGAGGGAATACGTGAGGCTATATATACAGCATGAGCTCCAAGTTGATTTCCAATCGACTTGCTTCCTCGTATAGACGCCTCGGGAATTAATTCCGATGGTGCGGCTATGTTCCTGATCTGCACCAGCCTCATATCACAACACTTTCTTTGATAATCCCTTCCTTTATTCACCCCGTGTCTCCGAATATGACATCTAGAACCTTGGTGTATCCTAGTTGGGAAGATTGTGCTACGAAACAACCTGGGTTACCCAACTGGGTTCTGGGCTGGGCTTGGGCTTAGTAGGGGTGTTCCGGGTAACAGCTGGGCTGGGTTTTGGGCTCAATGGAGGTGTTCCGGGTTGGGTTTTGCCGACGTCTAGGTATACCATCCACTATGGAAATTCCTCCATCGTCAAGAGCATGCTAGATCACCTCACCGCCAGAGTGGACACTAAACACAAACATGGTCGAACGGTGCTCCACATAGCTAGGGCTGTTGACGATATTGCCGATATACCGATATTGACGATACGATATCAGCTGCTTTTGAATTTGTCGATGCCACTTATACCCATCGCGAATCAACATCAGCATTCTTAAGGTATCCCCTTTCGAATATCTCCGGATGCCTAGCACATCCCTCGCTGTACTAAAGACTCTCTCAACAGCAACTTCAGAAGCAGGAATCGCTAGATAGTCCCTGGCTGCTGCTACCATCAGCGGATACTCGCCTTTGTGCATCTTCCACCAATTACAGAGCCAGCTCTGGCCGGTTGTACCTGCGACGCTGATCGGAGGGGTGTCGAAGTACTTATCAATATCTGAGAGCGGTGGATCTCGCGCGACGGTAAGATCCGAGATTGAACTGGTAGCTGGTCATAACGGAAGCATGGATTGTTTGATGCCGATTTACGGATATAATAAGAATTTTAAAAAGGAGTTTGAAATGGAATGATTGAACAGAAGCCTAGTGGATGTGCAACGAAAACAATCGTGGGGTGACAGTAACTTACATTTATCACAATTTTGTTAGACAAGGGGCAAGAAGATAATTTTACATAAGTTCTAGATACCCCGGACACTTTGGAGATTGGCCTGAAGCTCATTCATCCGGCAGTCCGGTCTCAGCGGTGACATGTCCTTATTGAGTCTACGGAGTGCTTATCTGTGTGACTGCCATAGTATCAATCCAAGAATGCAAGACTAGGGTGTCAGACCTATAATCGGATGAAGAATTAGCCTTGCACTAACCTCAAATGTAGTGATATAATAGAAACACTGGAAAAATAAAATAAAATGGATGGTCATGTGAACCACTGAATGGTATTCCCGACAGTGTGTGCATCCTGGTCTCGGTGCATTGTCAAAAGGATGCCTATCTGAAACTCTGATCTGCCGAGCATATAATATCGAAAACCCGGAGAGTACAGACTGCCTTACATGGAAGGTATGTTTCCGAGGAATGTGGACTCAACTCTGGTGCACAGCACGTTGTGAGAAGCAGGGTAACAGGATTCTCTGACAATCCGTTTCTCCCTTACGTACACCTAGCCCTAGACTTGAGTGGGGCGGGGCAGTGTAAGTACTGGCCTTTGTGAAGAAGGGCAAGTTTTCAGATGATTCATGAAAAGGATGCTGATGACGAAAGTCCTAACATAGATATAATCCCTGTGGCGTGGAGAGGCCAATGTTTTGTTGATGTTTGACAACAAAACCTTTCCATTTCATGAGTAAGAAGCTATTCACGATTTATCGTGGTTACCAGTTTAGCTTCGTCATGTCGGTTCTCAGACCTACCAGTTGTTACTTGGAAACTTTATCCATTGGATCGAAATGGGGACTGAAATGTAAGTCAGCAATGACTGAACCTTCAACAGCTGAGAGTTTCGCTCTTGTTACAACCCTGGTCTTGTTATATTTTGTACCTGAAATAGCGCTATTTGTGTTGAGATTATGTCTCGAATGCTCTGTCATTTGCTTATGGTTTTAAAGCAATAGTAATATAGATATGAAGCGAAATAGTGACCAACTATCGGTTGCGTCTTCAGTGGACGGCATACTCCTCAACGTCCAGTCTTAATGATGGCATAGACCAATGCTATGTCATTTCTTGAATAAAAAGCCATTGTATTCTAGCCCCAACGGAGGCTTTACCTCGATATTAAGCTGGCACATAGACTGAGCGAATAGATGCCTCGCCGGAAATTTACTCAATTATTTCCATCCTTCTTTTGTACAGCCCGTGATTTCACATGAGTCTTCCCCGTAGAGACAACTCATTGGCAGCATGATAGATCCTCACAAAGTTTCCCACAGATTAGCTGGCAATTTGTCGCTAGGCTTACCCTTCCATCTCGATGATTCGCCACCCCAACCACTTCATTTCCCTTGCGGCCTGGAATGGTCTCTAGCTGAAGGGTCACCGAGTGGATACCATAAGCGTGAAAACACTCATTCACCGTCTTAGCCAGCTTATTGAAATCAGTTTCATCACTGGTCTCATCGAGGACAAGGTGTGTGGAGGCGAGAGACTTCTTCTGGTTCAGGCGCCATATGTGAAGTTCATGGACAGCGGCAATTCCAGGGATCTGCAACCTCGATAGTACCAGCAACAAGTAGTTTACGGGTTGGTCACGAAGACCGGATTACTTACCTGCTCTAGATCATGTTTGACATCGTCATGCTCGACGCCTTGAGGGGCACTTTGGAGTAGAATCAACCCGCTCCGTTTCACTAATCGAAACGTCAACAACTGAGTAATCGCAACACGCAGGGATCTTGATGAAATCGAAGGGGGTTTCTGGGTGGCTCACCTAATGGCAAAGAGGAGGCAAAGATCATGATCGCGATAGCCATACCGACGGCAGGGTCCGCATAATACCGACCACTATAGTTGGCCAGCCAAATGACTAGTCCTGAAATGATTACACCGACGTTGTTGGCACAGTCGCCCATGATATGAATAAAGACACCCATAAGAGCAAGATCAAAGTTCTTTCGTGGCTTCCAGGATGCGGCATTCATGTGGTGTTTGTGGGTGATGTGCTAGAAATATCGCGATGAGAAAACAGATTAAAGAATAATATATCGGAGAGACTGACCTTCTCGTTGATAAGGGCAGCGTGCTCTCGGGCCACTTGAGAGTCATTGTGATCATTGTGACCATCACTGTCATGATCCCCACGCTCATGTTCATGTTCATGATGATCATGACCATGATCTTGCACGTGGGTGTGTCCATGATCATGTTCGTCACCTCCATGGTCGCGGTCGTGGTCATGTTCTGTGAAGCCTTCGTCAAATTCATGCCCTTGGGGATGATATGTGGGAAGACGCTTTACCGTGCAAGAAAGTTAAACTAATCAAGTTGAGGCCGAATCCTACACAGCCAATAATCACAACCAGTTTTGGATCATCAACTCCTAGACAGCACAGAGGAGTTAGCCACATATATCGGCCCAAGTCTGCTCGCGGATACACACGCTCCAAACTGATAAACCGCTCGATAGACTGCAGGAAAATGCTGATTCCCAGACCAAGCAGTAAAACGCCGTTGAAGAAAGCACCTAGTAATTGCGCTCGTTGCCAGCCAAATGTTAAAGAAGGAGGTGCTGTAGCTTTCTCTGAGACCTTTTGATTGTCAGCACAACTGAGGGCGGATCATATGCCATCGAACAAAACCTACGATAGCAGCAATGAGAGCAATAACAAAGCCAAAAATATCACTCAACTAGAAATAGTAATTAGTTTGTTTTCATCGTCCAAGTCAAGGCGCACATACATAATGAAATGCATCAGCCATAAGGGCCAGCGAGCCCGTGTAGAAGCCAACTAGACCAGGTTATGTTAGACCTCTGTTTTCTACACAATAAAATTCCAGAATTGGAGCGAGTTTAATCTTAACTCTTGATTACCTGCTATTTCCGCGATAAAGAATGACATAGAAATGAGTATAACCGCGCTCAGGCGTTGGATTCGGGTGATCTTGAAAGCCATCTTTGGCGAATGATGTTTGAAAGAATGACGGGAAATCGAAAACAGTGCACGAGTAGACCAGTTGTGCGGAATTTTCACATATGGCCATATATGACCAAATCCTCCATTGCCCCGGAGCACGGGAAAAGCATTACTATATCGGGAAGGCGAAAGGTCCGAGATCCTGACAGAATGTCCGAGGCATGGTGTCATCGCCAAGAAATTACAGATACAGTTCAGAGACCCACCGTGATAGAAAGTGGGTCTTAATTTCTGATCATACGATACTTGTTGAAATTCCTGGAGTAGCTAGGGGACTCGACAAATCACATGAATAGCTGGGTACGGACAATTGATTTACTTGGATAGGAAGGACTGATCTCCGAAGTAGTTTAGGCGTTCAGCTACGGAATTTCGATTGCCATTGTACTTTTTTTCTCGTGGCAAACAATCGGCGAGAAAGAAAATAAAATTGTATTCATTCATTCTGAAGGCTCAATGACACGCCCGTCCGTACTTTCGCAGACGTAAATAGTTGTACGGTAATGGGGCTAGAAACCCGGCTCCGATCGATAAACCCGCCGCTATCCAAAACTGCGGATCCTCGAAGTTGACCTGACCCCCCGTCAAATGATAGTCCACCATGTTCTCGGCCAACTCCATAGCCACCATGGAAGTCATACTCATGCCCATCGCAGTGCGTGCCGCCATGGGCCACGAAAGCTGGTCGGCACCGCGCCGAAGAAGAATTGTTTCGAGTATGATTGAAGTCGTGATGCCGCTTGCCACTGCATTTCCAATCATTAGCTACACGTGTCTTTCACCGCTTAATGGGCCATGGAATGAACTCACTGGAGGCCATCATGATATTTCCCATGCCGAGCTCTGGGCAGTAGGACTGAAGCATCCATAGGGCAGAGAAATCGCCGACGGTGCAGCCCATGAGACAGCGCAGAGTATTGAGACCGGCACGCTTCCACGCCGGCCTATTAGTCCAAACCCCCATTTTCCAAGCTGAATGGATTGGCTGAGAAGCTCTGATTGCCGGCCCATTGCTGTCAGCTATAGAATCAGGATTTTTTAACGCTGACTTCTTGCCCGAACAACAGGACTGGACGGCTGACGAGCTCGAGAAGGCGCGACGAAAGCCAGAAGAGGTCGCTCGCGCCATCAGCCTAGAATGAAGTAGAAGCCCTGTTCTATACACCATGTGGGAGAAATTGTAGCGAGATGGTATGTGATGGAAGTGCATGAAATGATAAAAGCCCAACCCGAGTCTAGTTAAGTAGCGTCCGAGTTGGTGGTTGTGGTTGGTACGAGAAACGCACAATTCGCGCAACGGGTCGGCTCCACGATCCAGTCAGACTGAATAGAATGCCATGACATAGGAAAACTCAGGGGGGCTAGATATCTCGAGAAACATAAAAGGGAGGTCAATGTCCTCGTAATTTCCTTGATTTCAACTCTTCTCCCAGACTCACTCGCTATCGTTGTTCTACTTTTTTCTTCTCTCCATCTTCGCTCCCTTGTCCTCATTCAATTTATCAACTTCAAAATGTGCTGCAGCACTTCTCCGGATCACGAGTACAAGTTCAACGTCCAGATGGCGTGCGGTGGCTGTGTTTCTGCCGTCCAGGAAGCCCTCAACGCACTCAGCGGTTCGTAACCCAGCCTTTTCATTATACTGCTCAATTTTTTAATATTTTCTGGATATTGCGTGGCGCAGGAGTGAAGAAGCTTGAGATCAACCTTGAAGAACAGACCGTCTTCGTTGTGGCTGAGCATTGCCTTTCTTTTGAAACCGTGTTGGGTGCCATCAAGGCGAAGGAAAAGAATGTCCGCAGCGGTGAAGCTGACGGAGCTGCTCAGACTGTTTAGAACGGGAAATTCCGCCTTGATTGCCTTGCGGGGTTCATGTATCACCTAGTCTTTATAGAGCTCTAGTTCTGGTAGTACTTCTGTCACCTACGATACATTTATGCCTTCCACTTGCTACCAGTAGTTCAAATTCACTCAACCGCAATGTCTTATAGGATCTGCATCTATCATTCATATCCACGCAAAATTAGCCAATTTATTGTAAGCATCGTGTCAAAAGCCAAGGTTGCAATACCTAGTTGAAACAGAGCACAATACCCGGACTTTCCCCGGACCGATGCCATGGTAAATGGCATACAAAAGTGCTTATTACTAGTTAGCCATCATGTCCACACAGATTGTTTAAATAGTGGATTTTGTCAGTTTTGGTCATCCAGAGAATTAAATATCTTCGTGCCATACCATACATTATCGTACAGCCAGATTTCTGTCACATTGTAATAATTCATGTATATCTAGAGAGTCAGGAAAAGTGGATACTACCAGCTACAATAAGATGAATGCTGAGAGTGCTGACCGGTTAGCTTGCAATGGGGGACAGCCTAAAACTTCATTGGAACGTTAAGTATATCGGGGTCTGCCATCGCCACCCAAATGGCATCTCGGAACAAAGCGTAATTGAAGATCTACCCCGGGGCCGTGAAATTTGCTAGAGAATCTTGAACACGATGTGTCATCCCGACATGCAACGCACAATTCCCGCAGCCAAATTAGGGTTTTCGGACCCACATGGCTCGGACTTCGTGACTACTCAATCCAGTCAATGGGAATTTCTTTGAATTTGCGTGAATATCGCGTTAGCGTCACGGAGTAAATGTTCTTCTTCATTCCATTTTGAAGAAGCGAAGAGTCATCATTTTGCCTCTGTACGAACGCAATTAGGAATGCTCATAACTCTATATATTTCCCTCTTCCACCGTATTTCCCACCCTCTTCTCATTCATATCCACATACATATTTTTAATCTTTTGGGACTTCAAATTCACCTATTTCTGCTCTACTTCCTGAGCATGAGCGAACTACTATCTCCGCCTCAATCGAGGCTTACCACTATTCTCGTGGACAATCTACACTGTCCATCCTGTGTTGCAACCGTGCAAGAAACTCTGTCCGCACTCAGACCTGCTCCGTTCTCTGTCGCAACGTCCATCGTCCTCCACGAAATCAAGGTCGTCCATCCCATCACTCTAAGTGCATCTCGCATCGCACGTACCCTCACAGATGCCGGCTTCGAACTAGACAGCGTTTTGCCGTCAGTCTTCCATGATGGCAACATCGAAGCACACGACTACACCTCTAAGTCGACCACCAAGAGCAACCGCGACCATTACGATGTCCATTTCCAGTCAGAAAAGCATATCCGTCAATGTGAGGCATGCAAAGCCCATCTGGCCGCCCCAAAGACGGCGGAACAGGAGTTGTCGCCCATGGGCAAATCGACGACCACGCTGTCTAGCGACGAATCGTTGACCTCTGTCATGGACGATCGTCTTACTGGAGTGAAGTATCGCATCTCCCTGGCGATCAGTGGCATGTCGTGCAGTTCCTGTGTGGGGAAAATCACCGGCGCCTTGCAAGGCCGGCTATGGATCCTGTCAATGGATGTGAACCTTTTGACCAGTAGTGCAGTCGTGGTCCTCGCTGACAGCGCACATACGGACGAGATACTCCAAACTGTCCGGGAATCTGGGTACGAGGTAGAGGTGGTTGACACCGAGGAGATTCGACCCCAAAGACCCAATCCACTATCTGCGCTGGTGGACGACGCATGGCGCGCGTCTTATATTATCGAGGGGATGAGTTGCAGCTCTTGCGTTGGCAAGGTCACCGACACGCTGAACCAGCATGAATGGATCACTAAGGTCGATGTCAATCTTGTGTCCGGCAGTGCCACAGTCGAGTACCTTGGCAAAGATCATCTGGAAGACATTGCCAAAATAATCGGCGAGTTGGGCTACAAGGCCACCCTGAGTGATTTCGAGAGTCAGGTCTCATCCAACTCGTCAATTTCGGAGCGCGAGATCCAGATTCAGGTCGACGGCATACATTGTGAACAGTGTCCCCAGAGGATTGTCGATGCCTTGGCCAGCGCGTACGGCGACGAGGTCGAGCTGTTAGAGCTGCCCACCTCCCAACAGCCCCGGCTCAAGATTCGCTATCTTCCCGAGATACCGAAACGGACTATCCGCGACATTCTGCGCGCTATCGCTGACGTTGATAAGGCCTTTACAGTGTCAGTGTATCATCCGCCTACTTTGGAGGAACGTTCACAGGCCATGCATCGTCGACACCAGTGGTCTATTGCCAGACGCTTAATCCTCGCTGTTCTGGTCGCGATTCCCACCTTCATCATCGGTATCGTCTATATGTCGTTGGTGTCTGCTAATAACCCCGGAAAGAAATTCCTGAATGAACCGATGTGGGCTGGGCAGGCAACACGAATGGAATGGGCTCTTTTCATCATGGCCACCCCTGTCTATTTCTACTCTGCCGGGCTGTTCCACCGCAGGACGATGCATGAGCTCGTGGCCCTCTGGCGACCAGGAAGCAAGACTCCGATTCTTCGCCGTTTCCTCCGCTTCGGAAGTATGGATATGCTCATGTCCTTAGGTACTTCAATCGCCTACTTCGCTTCGATTGCTGTTCTCGCCATCAATGCCACCCAACCAGCGGACATGATGAAAATGCACCATACCGAAACATTCTTTGACTCCGTTGTCTTTCTAACTATGTTCTTGATGATTGGTCGCTTGCTTGAAGCATACAGCAAGGCGAAGGCTGGTGACGCGGTGGGATTACTCGGCAAATTGCGGCCAACTGAAGCGGTTCTGATTATGCCGGCCCATGCAGACGAAGCAGAGACCACATCTACCGTTTCAATTGACCAGCTGGAGTTTGGGGACCTGGTTCGAGTGACCAATGGCGCCTCCCCACCCTACGATGGAACTATCATTACTGGAACCTCCCGTTTTGATGAATCAAGTTTGACCGGCGAATCCCTTCCGGTGGAGAAGTCGGTTGGCGATGAAGTGTTCTCTGGAACTATTAATCAAGCCAATCCTGTCACGATCAAGATCACTCGTCTCTCCGGTGACTCGATACTCGACCAAGTTATCGGTGCCGTGCGAGAGGGCCAGATTCGAAGAGCCCCCATCGAGCGGACAGCGGACCTTCTCACAAGCTATTTCGTTCCCGTCGTGACTTTGATAGCTGTCGCCGATTGGTTGATCTGGTTGGCCCTTGGCCTTTCAGGCCGACTGCCAGAAGCGTGGCAAGATGGCCCTGGAGGATGGGAGTTCTGGTCGTTGCAGTTCGCCATCTCTATCTTTGTCGTTGCCTGCCCCTGTGGAATTGGACTCGCTGCCCCAACAGCTCTGTTCGTGGGTGGTGGATTGGCCGCTCAGCATGGTATACTTGTCAAGGGAGGTGGTGAAGCATTCCAGGAGGCCAGTCAGCTCGATTGCATTGCCTTTGACAAGACTGGCACGATTACTGAGGGCGGAGAACCATCGATTACTAACCATGAGGTTGCTCACGAGGGCAACAACATCGCTGACATCTGGGGCGCGGTTTTGGAGCTTGAACAGAGCAGCAGTCATCCTATCGCCAAGGCTATGGTCGCTTTCGCCGCTACCCAGAAGCCTTCAGCTCTGAAGACCGTCTCGGCAAACGAAATCCCAGGCAAGGGTCTTAAGGGTGTTTTCACACTTCGCAACCAAGACACCAAGACAGGTCTCGAGGTGATCATTGGTAATGAGGCGCTGGTGCAGGATTACAACATCGTCCTCTCCTCAGTCAACCTGGACACACTCATGACATGGAAGCAGGAGGCTAAATCCGTCGTTTTGGTTGGCACCCGTGCTCAGGCTGCCGATGCTTCCGTCCCCTGGAAATTGTCTATCATGCTGGCTGTCGCCGATCCGGTCCGACCAGAGGCCAAGGGTGTTCTCCACGCCCTTCGTGACCGTGGAATCGATGTCTGGATGATCTCCGGAGACAATCCAACGACTGCCAACGCCGTTGGCAAGATCGTCGGAATCCCGCCTGATAACATCATCGCAGGCGTCCTGCCAGAGCAAAAGGCAGAGAAAGTGCGCTACCTGCAACGCGTCCTGCAAAAGCCGGGCCGTTCTGGTTGGTTCGGCAGCCAGTCAGCCCCCAACAGGAAGCGGGCGATCGTGGCCATGGTTGGCGATGGTATCAATGATTCTCCCGCACTGACAGCTGCCGACGTTGGCATTGCCATTGGATCCGGCTCAGACATTGCTATCTCCGCGGCTGAATTCGTGCTTGTCTCTTCCGGTCTGACATCGCTTCTGACCCTCATCGACCTGAGTCGCATGGTGTTCCGCCGGATCAAGTTCAATTTTTTCTGGGCTTTAATTTACAACTGCATTGCCGTGCCTGTGGCTGCCGGTGTCTTCTATCCCATCGTGAGTAACGGAAAGCATGTTCGTTTGGACCCGGTGTGGGCGAGTCTTGCCATGGCTTTGAGCAGTGTCAGTGTCATCTGCAGTAGTCTGCTTATGAGGACTCGGTTGCCTTTGGTCGGCTTCCGGAGCAAGAAATCGAACAAGCAGTAAATGGTGGGAACGGGGTTTTTGTAAAGTTTCGGTGACCAAGTCGTCCTATGTTGTTATATAAAACATATTAATAGTCGGAGCGTTTAATATATTGCATTGCCAGGCTACTTAAGGAAGCTACTCCAGTGATAGAGCCCCTGCTGTCCAGTCACTTACGAGATCTAGTTGGTAGCAGGAAATGAAGGATGCGGTTGCCTATTCTAATTGAGGCCTGTTAAAACCCATGCCTTCGTTTTTGAAACCATTGTTTGTACTTTGTGGCTGGCTCCTAGAATTTGTGAAGTTTTAAACACTAACCAAGATGCAGAGCAAATGATACTCTCGCAAGTGAAAGAAAATGCGCTAAGGGCCGGGGCCGCATCTATTGCTGGGCAAGCGTTTTATTTCCTGGATCTGCCACTTGGCTAAACCATGTAC